ATCACATCATCATCTTATAATGTGGATTCCAGAACTCCACACAATAATCTCGCTATGGCCTAACCAACATTTTGTATTGTCATCTATCATGCCCATTATTATCTAGCATTATCAAAATGGTTCCAAGAAAGAAAATGACACTATAAATGAAAATTTAAAAGCAGGAAAATAGAGAAAGTTACAGGTGGTGATAGCACCAGGCCTGACTGGATATCAGGAAAGATTGCTGAGGATGGCCATGACATTGGTCAAACTCTCTTTTTTTTGGGGGGTGGGGGGAAATTGGTAGAAATATGAGTTGTTCCAGGATTGAAAATCACTGTAACCAAATGGATCCAGCACCTCCATGTCAATTTTCTGCACGTAAACAAATTCAAATTCCCTGCTCTTTTCTGTTCCCCTTTCCTACAAGTCCTATAATCCTCTTCCTTTTCAAATGCTCATCCTATTCCCTTTAGGGATTCCTGATTACGTGAACCTCCACAATACTTTATTAAAACAAAATCTTCTATCATCATTAGTTCATCAGTCAGTCATCTTGCATTGATGCAACAGTTATAGAATAACAGGTCATTCAGTCCACATTGCCTGAACGAATGCTGTACAGAAATCAGTCAGCGGACCTGGATTGCAGCAATTCAGCACCACTTTCTCAAGTCCAGTTAAGGATGGGCATGAAATACTGGCCTAGCAAGTGATATTCAAATCCTATGATGTGAATACTATGTTAATGAATTAACGAATCCTCATTTCACACTTCTCACTAAGAACTCCATTAAAAAATTCCAAATGTTGCACTAGCTCCCCTCATTCCATAATTGAAATCAAATAGTTCATGAAACATATACTTTAGCTTTTTAGACTTCATTTACAACATTATCCTTAATTAATACTAACAGATCCTCTCTTCACTTTCCTGGTCTTATATTCATTAACACTGTGTAAACAATGCCTTGCCATACTGTGAACTGCATTGGTGTTATGGCAACTACATTATAATTCTATGTTGCAATTAATACCTGCATCTCAGTAACTTTATTAGTTACAACATGGACATCAAAATTCCCAATATTTTAGATCTCCCCCTCAATACATTTATCTTTTTCCTTTATCTGATACCTGGAACTATTAAGATTCTTCTAATTTTACTGCTGTTTCATTTCTGCTGTTCTCTGGTCCACTTTCCTCTCTAGTTTAAGCACTCCACAAAAGTACCAGTCAACCACTGGGGAGACTATGGCACAATAATATTGTCACTAAGCTAACAATTCAGAGTCCAAGGCTAATGCAGTACAATAGGAGTTTATATTTCAGACAGATGGTGAACTTTCAATTCAGTAAAATCGGCAATGAAAAAAATTTTAGTCTAATGATGACATGTAATCATTGTTGATTGGTGTGAAATCCATTTGATTCACTAATATCATTTAAAAAAGAAATAGGTCATTCTTACCTGGTCAGGCCTACGTGATTCCAGACCCACAGCTATGTAGTTGACTTCTAAATGTTCTCTCAAATGATCTAGCACTTAGTTACATTAAAACCACCACAAAATCTAAAGACAGGAATGAAACTGGAAGGATCATCCAGTATCAGCCTAGTAAATTACAACAACAAAACCCAGCACTGACGACCAATAAGGAAAATAAGGGTATTAAGAGTAAAAGGGTGGCTAGGGAGAGAATAGGACCCCTTAAAAGATCAGCATGGCCGAGGGAGAGTCATGGATGCTAAGGAAATAAGGGAAACAAGTGAGAATGCTTTAGACCTCATACTTATTACCAAAAAGGAGATATTTGCAGCCCTGGATCACCTTAAGGTGGGTAAATCCCCTGGGCCTGATCACGTCCATCCTCAGATGTTGTGGGAGGCTCGGGAAGAAATTGCATAGGCACTTGCAGAAATTTTTGCTTCATTTTCAGCCACTGGTGGGTGGCTAATGTTGTTCCATTGTTTAAGAAAGGTAGCAAATACAAGCCAGGGAACTAAAGCCTGACATTAGTGGTAGGCAAGTTATTGGAGGTGATACTGAGGGACAGGATCAACCAACATTTGGAAAATCAAGGACTGATTAGGGTTAGTCAGCATGGATTTGTGTGTGGGAAGTCACGTATGACAAACCTTTTAGAGTTTTTTGTAAAAGCAACCAAGAGGATGGATGAGGGTAGGGCAGTGGATGTTGTCTATATGGACTTTAGTAAGGCCTTTTGACAAGATCCCACACGGCAGGCTAGTCATGAAGGTTAGGGCGCATGGGATCCAGGGAGACCTAGTTAGTTAGATTCAAAATTGGCTCGATGGTAGGAAACAGAGGGTGATGGTTGAAGGTTGTTTCTCGGACTGAAGGCCTGTAACTAGTGGTGTGCCACAGGGTTTGGTGCTGGGACCTTTGTTATTTGTTATTTACAGAAATTATCTGGATTTGAATGTACAAGGCATGATTAGTAAGTTTGCGGATGATACAAAATTAGGAGGTATCATTGATAGTGAAGGAGGTTATCAAACATTACAGAGGGATCTTGATCAGATGGGGAAGTGGCCTGAGGACTGGCAAATGCAATTCAATACAGATAAGCATGAGGTGTTGCACTTTGGAAAGTTAAACCAATGTAGGGCTTATACAGTAAATGGCAAGGTCCTGAGGAGTATTGTGGAACAGAGGGACCTAGGAGTACGAGTACATAGTGCGTTGAAAGCAGCATCACAGGTGGACTGGGTGGTGAAGAAGACATTTAGCATGCTGGCCTTCAGCAGTTGAGGCATTGTGTGTTGGAGTTGGGATGTTACGTTACAGTTGTATAAGTTGTTGGTGAGGTCGCACTTTGCGTGTTGTGTACAGTTTTGGTCACACTGTTATAGGCAAGACAGTTAAACTGGAAAATGTGCAAAGATTTATGAGGACGTTACCAGGACCAGGAGGCTTGTGTTACAGGGAGAAGTTGGACAGGATTGGACTTTATTCCTTGGAACCTAGGACAGTGAGGGGTGACCTTATTCAGGTATATAAAATCATGAGGGGCATAGATAGGATGAACGCAAATAGTCTTTTTCCCAGGGATGGGTAACTGAAAACTACAAGGCACAGGTTTAAGGTGAGAGGGGAAAGATTTAAGGAGGACCTGAGGGGCAACTTCTTCATGCAGAGAGTGGTGAGTATATGGAATGGGTTGCCAAAAAAAGTAGTTGAGGCAGGTCCAACAGCAACATTCAAAAATATTTGGAAAGTACATGAATGGGAGGCGTTGAGAGGGATGTGGACCAAATGTGGGTAATTGGAACTAGCTGAGTGGGCACCATGATCAACATGGACCAGTTTGGGTCAAAGGGCATATTTCCCTGCTGTGTTACTCTATGACCCTTCAAAGTCCTCCTCAGTAATATCTAGTCACATTTACAAATCAAGAAACAAAGAATCATATCTTACAGATAATGTCCCAGATACCATCACCAGCTTCACTGGGTACATCCTGACCCTCCAACCAGCAACAACCACCAGTGATGGCAACAGAACAATGTTAGTCAGGAGAGCTAAATAACCCTAGACCCAACCCCAGAACTCCTTAACAATAACACATGACTCTCACGAAAGGTCACGAAATCAAATATGGACAAGGAAACCTTCTGTGAAATACAGCATACTGCTTCCCGTCCTCTGCTACCTTCAATTAATGAATCAATGTTCCTCTATATTAAACAACATTTAAAGGGGCAGTTAAAAGATGGCAAGGGACACTGAGTAGGGGACTTCAATGCTCATCACCAAAAGTTGCTCGGTAGTACCAGTTCTGCAGAAGGAGATGGGAGACGAACAAGAGGGGGAAACAAAGTTAAATGAGAAATTGCTGGAAAAACTCTGCAAATCGGGCAGCATCTGTGGAGAGAAAGCATAGTCAATGTTACGGGTCTAGTAGCTGTTCTTCAGAATACTCATAGCAAGGGCAAGGGGGAGGAGTAAATTATAGTGGAGATTGAGCCCAGAGAGCAACAAAGAAAAAGACAAACAGTTGGGCAGCCAAAAGAACGGGTACAATTTAGCCTGGAGAATAAATAGCTGCTTCTGGGGACTGTTAGTGGCTGATAATTTGTAGTGGCAGCCCAAGTGATAACATGGTCTGGTTGGGTAAGGACGTGGGAGAAGATGCTCAGGCCCTAAAATTATTGAACTCTATATTGAGTCCAGGTAATTGCAAGGTTCCCAAATGGAAAATGAGGTGTTGTTCTTCCAGCTTGCACTGAACTTTACTAACGGTCCACATTAGCAGCTATTCATTCTCCAAGGCTGACTTTTACCAATTCCTTTGTCTGCCTCATTGTTTTTCTCTTTCTCTGGACTCCATCTCCACCTATTGTTTACTCCTCCCCCACCCCTTCTCTAGCAAATATACCAACCTTTGCCTGGCTACAAAATAGTTCTAAAGAAGGGTTACTGGACCTGAAATGTTAACTGTTTTCTCTCCACAAATGCTGCCAGATAATGCTGAGTTTCCCAGCAATTTCTGATTTTATGATTTCTAACATACATACTCCTGTGGTTTCTGTTGCAGATGCATCCGTCCACAATTGCAGAGTGACTCCATGACCACGAGGTAGTCAAAGTCTCGTTTTCACAATGAGGATACCCTGTGTAGTGTGACACTACTACTGTGCTAAATGGGGCAAACTTCAAACAGATCATAGAATCATAGAATCCTACAGTGTGGAAACAGGCCCTTTGGCCCAACAGGTCCACACCGCCCCTCCGAAGAGCATCCCACCCACACCCATTCCCCTAATTTCCCATGTCTAATCCACCTAACGTCAACATCCCTGAACACTATGGGCAATTTAGCATGGCCAATCCACCTAGCCCGCACATCTTTGGACTGTGGGAGGAAACTGGAGCACACGGAGGAAACCCACGCAGACACGGGGAAAACGTGCAAACTCCACACAGACAGTCGCCCAAGGTTGGAATCAAACCCGGGTCCCTGGCACTGTGAGGCAGCATGGCTAACCGCTGAGCCACCGTACTTCTAACAACTCAAAGCTGAGCTTCCACGAAACATTGAGGGCCACCTGCAGAAACAGCAGAGTTTCAATCAACAATCTGCAATTTCATGGCCTGGCATCTCTCGTTTTACCATTACAATCAAGCCAGGAGATCAACCCTGCTTCAATGAAGAGCACAAAAGGGTAGGCCATGAACAGCAACATGCATACCCAAAACTGAGGTACCTGATGAAAGTATGACAGAAGACCACTGCATGCCAAATAGCAGAAATCAAATGTAAGCGACAGAACTAAGTGATTCCATAACTAACAATTCTGATTGAACATCTGCAGTTTTGCCATATTTAGTCATGAATAATGGGGACAATTAGACAACTAGTCGTGGTTGTCAAATATCTCCCCTCCTCAACTCTAGGGGGCCCAGTGTGAAGACTGAAGCAATTACACCAATCGTCAGCCAGAGGTGCTGAGTGGATGATCTATTTTAGCCTCCTGCAAAGTGCCCAGCATCCCAGGTGCTAGACTTTCACCAACACCATTCATGTGATGTCATGAAATAGCTTAAATCATAGATACTGCAAAGGCAAATGCACCATATCAACATCCTGGTAACTTTTGCTCCCAAATTAGACAAACCATTAGCTGTACTGGCACAGCATAGCTAAAACACAAGTATTTACCAAGCAATGTGGGGAAAACTGCCTGGGTCTGTTCTGTCCACAGAAAGCAGGATCGCTCCAAACTGGCCTAAAAATGCTTTATTAGTTTACTCTTGATCATCAGAACAGGTTGGCATCAGTGCTATACAGTGGTAGGTTCAAATGGAATAATCTATTTGCAATGCTCAGTTGATAACTCCTGACCCTGTTACAGCCTTGGTTCAAACATGGGCAAGAGAGAGATCGGAGTGACTGCCCTTAGCATAAACATGATATTTAACAGAGTATGGTATCAAGGAGCCCGGGCAAAACCATAGTCAAAATCAATGGTAATTGGAGAAAATCCCTCCACATACCTGTCAAAAAGGAAGATGGTCACAGTTATTGGAGGCGAGTTATTTCAGTAAGAAGATATCAGTGCAGGAATTCTTCAGGGTAGTGATCAAAGCCAAATCAACTTTAATTGTTACATGAATTACCTTCCCTCCAACAAAAATGTCATGTCATAAGTAGGGTTATTCACTGATGATAGCACAATGTTCAGCACCATTTACTACTCCTCAGAGACTGAAGCAGCTTATGCCTATAAGCAACAAGACCTGGACAACATCCAGGCATATCCTGACACATGGCAAGTACCATTCAAACCATATTAGTGCCAGGTAATGAGCATCTCCAACAAGAAAGAATCCAATCATTACCCCACGATATTTAATAGTATTACCATCACCGAATCCCCAACTAGAGTATCAACAACCTGGGGGTTCCATTGATCAGAAACTAAATTGGATCAACCATTTAAATACTGTGGTTACAATAGCAGGGCAAAGATTAAAAATTCAGTGTGAATGACTCGTTTCCCCAATTCCTGTTCACCACTTAAAAGAATGTGACAGCATAGTCCCCACTTGCATAGATGTGTAGCTCCGACAACACAAGAATCGCAACACCATCCAGGTCAAAGCTGCCTGCTTGACTGATGCTCTATTCACTGCATCGGTGTTCACAACCAACATACCTAGACTGTACTATCAAAAGGTTGCACTGTAGTAAATATCCTTTGACACCACCTTGCAAACCTATACACATGTAGGCACAGAGGCATGGGAGCACCCATATCCTCAAGGTCCCTCCAAGAGATGTGCTTCCTAAGTTGAAAGCATTTCTTCATGATCATTAGGTCAAAATCCTGGAATTCCCTTCCAAACAGCATCACAGGGGTTACTGCTACATTCCCAAGGACAAATAGGAGTAGGCAATAAATGCTGGTTTAGCTATCAATGCCCACATCTCATGAACAAGTTAACAAATCTCTCTTCATTGTCAACTACAACTGCACCACATCCAGTTTGTACATTTTTATTTACCCAGAAGCAGTCCAATTTCTCTGAATCTGAATTTTTCCCTCTTGTACCACTTGTTGAGTGAAGATCACTTATACAGACTTTCCAAATTACCAATGACCTCCATCAAAAAATTGTTAAACTTTTAAACATGGGCAACACAGCAATCAGTCAGGAACAATGTAGGGAAAAAAGGGGACAATAAGGACTGCAGATGCTGGAAGCCAGAGTCTATAGATGTGAGGCTGGAAAAACACAGCAGGTCAGACAGCATCCAAGGTGCAGGTAAGTCAATGTTTTGGGCTGAAACCCTTCGTCAGTGCCTTTTTAAAAAAACCCTCAATTTTGGGCAACTTGAATATGATGGATAAAGTATACCTTTTAGGACTGTATATCTTAATACAAAGAGATTAGCTTAAGAGTTTATCAAGTATCTCTTAAACCACTCAAAAAAACTTGATCAAAATCACATTTACACAGTACCTGCAAATTTAACGTACTTGAATACAAGAAGCTATTATGTTTCTTTAATCTAAGCTTCAATCCAGATAAGTGTGAGGTGAAGTACTTGGTGGCAGGGGAGTGCATAATAAATCGTAGGACACTGGGAAGCATTGAAGATCAGAGGGATCTTGGTGTATATGTACATCAGTCCTTTAAGGTGTTGAGGATAGGTGAATAAAATAGTTAAGGCGGCATACTGAAACATCAGTTTTCCTGCTCCTCTGATGGTGCCTGGTCTGCTGTGTTCCTCCAGCTCCACACTGTTATCTCTTGTATATGATATACTTGCCTTTGTTAGTCAAGGCAGAGTTTAACAGCAGGGAGGTTTTGCTAGAAACTCTGTAAAATGTTGGTCAGGCCACAGCTAGAGTATTGTGTATAGTTCTGGAATCCACATTATAAGAAAGATGTAATAGCATTGGAGAGGAGATTTATGAGAATGTTGCAGATGTGAAGAGAGATTGGACAGACCGGGTTTGTTTTCCTCAGAGCAGAGGAGATTGAGAGGTGACATGATTAAGACATATAAAATTGAGGAGCTTTTGTTTTTCCTTTATTCGTTCATGGGATGAGGGCATTGCTGGCTAGGTAGCATTTATTGCCCATCCCCAAATGTCCAGAGGGTAGTTAAAAGTCAACCAGATTGCTGTGGGTCTGGAGTCACATGTAGACCAGACCAAGTAAGGACAGCAGGTTCCTTCCCTAAAGGATATTCGTGATCCAGGTGGGTTTTTCCAACAATCAACAATGGATTCATGGTCACCATTAGACTCTTAATTCCAGATTTTTATTGATTTCAAATTCCACCATCTGCTGTGGTGGGATTCAAACTCAGGTGCCCAGAACATTATCTGGGGATCCGAGTTAACAATCCAGCAACAATACCAGTAGGCCACCGCCTCCCCTGTATGTTGCTCAGATAGGAAGAAACCTGTCCTCTCAATGGAGGGATCAATAATCATCAGCCATAGATTTAAGTTAAGGGGCAGAAGGTTTAGGAGAGATGTGAGGAAAAGGATTTTCATCAAGAGGGTGGCGGGAATCTGGAACTCACTTGCATGCAAGGGTGGTAGAGGCAGAAACCCCCACCCCCCATAACATTTAAAGAGTAATTAGATGGACACTTGTGATGCCAAGGCATACAAAGCTTTGAGCCAAGTGGTAGAAAATGGGATTCAAATATTTCAGTGGCTGTTTTTGACTAGCATTGGATGTAATAAGCTGAAAGGCCTTTGCTGTGCTGTAGATCTCTATGACTATGACCCTATGTCTTTCTTTCAAAGTTACTTTCAGTGCATAATTGATTACTATTAGATGAAAACAAAAGTTCAAACCTGGATTTGTGAATCTGATTCAACAACATAGCTATTTTCTGTTGAGCAGACTGCAGGGACTGCTTGGAGTGTTCTTCCATTTTCCTGAAACAAAACTGAGTCAAACATCTAATCAATTAATTCTTTTCTCAATCTGGCATTTTCATCTTTTTACAATTTACAGTTCTTGGGTAGCTTATGCTATATTTACAACATATAAAAATTCACAAACTTATCAACAGATATGGAACAGATACTTTGCATGTTATGCATTTAACGTGTTATAGAATCACAGCCATACAATACATTCAGTCCTTCAAGCCTTTGGATAGCTCTTTCAAGAGGCTTCATTTAGTTCATATTGACTGCTCTTAGCCTATTGATGAGATTCGCTTCCTCCAAATATATATCCAGTTCCTTTATTGGAAGTTTTTGGAATGCAGAATTAGAATTATAATTGCTATTAGTCATTTCATAAGAAACTTATCAAGCTTAGCACAGTATGTCTATCCTTTGGGTGATTTTCTTTTCCTCCAAAACTTTTAGAATTCATCATGGGATCCATGATCAAATTGTACATTCAGCTTGATTGTGGAAAAATATAGTTTCAGAACAAATGCCTTAAATTAAGGCAGTCACAAGGGTCTGAAGACAAATTGGCCAACGTGGGCTTGGCAAATTGTTATAACATAAGACAGTAGAGATGCAGTGGCAAAAATGTAAGGAGATATTTCATAACACTCAAAGATACGATCTCTATCTGAAGGATGCATCTTTCATGGCTAATTAAGGAAGTTCAGTGTGTTATTAAAAATTGAAATAAAAATACACAACGCTGCAAAAAGTAATAGAGGGCAGAAGTTAGGAATGTTAAAAACTGGCAGATGACTACAAACAAGAAAGGCAGAAATTGGATCACAAGAGAAAGCCAGCAAGAGATATAAAGTGACTAAATAATTCCAAAAGGACATAAAAAATAATCATGGTCCCTTGAAAGGAAAAACTGGGGAATTAATGGGAAGACAGAAAATTGCCGAGCGTGTCAATAAATGTTTACTATCCATTATACTCTAAGGCACAAAATATTTCAAAAATTAGGAAGTCGAAAGGTAATTGAAATAACTGCACAAAGGCTGGTATCCTGTCACCAAGTCATCCTTTATTTACATGCGCACACTATATGGGCTCTGACCAGCCAGCTCAGAGCTGATCCCTAGAATGCGGAGACTCTCAATTGCCTGTTTATATCAGTCAACCAGGGCTCCCTGTTGACCTAGGTTAACAATCCCAACTAAGGATCTCAGACAATGAGATCAACCTGGCATGCGTTCTAATCATGACAGTAATAAAGGAAAAAGGAAAAGGAAAACTAATGGGGCTCAAGGCTTAAAAGTTCCCTGGACCACATTCTGGGGTCTTAAAAGGAAGTCTGCAGAGATCCTGGATTTATACATTGTAATCTTCCAAAGTTCCCTAAACTATTAAGGTCCTAAGGATTGTACAAGTACAAATGTAAAACTACTTTTCAAGATAGGAAAAAGACAGAAAGAAGGAAATTATAGACTACTTAGCCTAACATATGTCACTTAAAGAACGGTAAAATCTATTATTAAAGAAATAACAGAAGCACATTTCAGAAAGGGGTGTTGAGAAACAGTTGGTAATAGTACGTACCTAATCTATGTTTACTTTCCGGTGAAATGTAGGAGCCACAATCTTAGAGAGCCCTGGATGTCCAGGGATATTCAGGACTGGATAAGGAGGAAGAGAAAGGATTTTAATGGGTACAAAGAAAACAAATCAGTGGATGCCCTAGTGGAGCGTAGAAAATGCAGAGACAGACTTAAGAAAACCATTAGGAGAGCAAAGAGGGGACATAGAAAAGCAAATGGCAAGCAAGCTTAGGGAGAATCCCAAGATAATCTAAAAGTGTATTAAGGGGAAGAAGATAACCATGGAAAGAGTAGGGCCCATTGAGGACTGGATGCAGCAATATGCGGGTGGAGAGAAAAACTGGTAGGGCATTAAGCAAGTACTTCACATCTGTCTTCACTTTGAAGGATGATGTAGGCATAGAATTCGAAAGAGGGACTTGATCAGTTTGATATAGAGTGTATGGTGGTATTGCAGGTTTTTTCTATTGGGTTTGAAAAGTGGACAAATCCGCAGATGCAGATAAGTTGTGTCCCAGGATGTTGTGGAAGATGGAGGACGTAATTACGGGAGCTCTAACCCAAATTTTTAATTCCTCTCTGACCACAGGTGAGCTGCCAAAGGACTGGAGGACTATTAATATGGTTCCTCTTGTTCAGAATGGTGGTAAAGATTACAGACCAGTGAATTTCACATCAGTGGTATACTGAATATAGAACAGTACAGCTCAGGAACAGGCCTTTTAACCCATGATGTCTGTGCCAAAAATTATGCCATTCTAAACATATCCCATCTGCTTGCACATGATCCATATTTCCCAATTCCCTGACTGTTCATGCGTTTATGTAAATGCCTCTTAAATGTTACTATTGTATCTACTTCTACCTCTACTAGCAAGGCGTTCCAGGCTCTGGCCATCCTCTTTGCAAAAATAAGTGCCTTGCACATTTCCTTTAAACATTCCCCCTCTCACTTTAAACCTATGCCCTCTAGCATTTGACCTTTCCACCCTGGAAAAGAGATTCCGACTATTCATATCTGACTAACCCTACCCACGTCTCTCACTGTAGGGAATGTACTGAAGACAATTCTCAAAGAAAGAATTAAACTCTACTTAGAGAAGCAAGGTTTGATCAGAGATAGTATCACACTTTCAGAGGGAGGTCAGCCTAACAAATTTGATTGTTTTTTTTTTAAAAAGAAGGAGCCCAAGTGTGTTGAGGAAGGATATTGCAGTTGTGTAGTTTACAAGGATTTCAGCAAAGCCTTTGACAAGTTTCCACATGGGAGACTGACAAAGAAGGTAAATGCACATGGGATCCAGGGGAACTTGGCAAGTTGGATTCAAAACTAGCTTAGTGTTAGGAGACAGAGGGTGATGTAGAAGGCTGTGTGTCTGGAGCCCTGTGGGCAGTGGTTTACCACATGGATCAGTGTCAGGACCCTGACTGTTTGTGACAAGATATAGAAAAAAAATATTGGTTGGTTGTTAGGGGTGGTGGGGGCGATGTGGGATGTTGTGCTGAGGTGTGGAGATGGAGATAAGTAGGCTTGCAGACCACACAGAGACTAAATTGGTGGTTAACAGTGAGGAAGATGGTCTTCAGCTACAGGAGGATATTAACAGGTTGGTCAGATGGGCTGATCAGTGGTACATGGAATTTAACTCTGATAAATGTGAGGTGATATACTTTGGAACAAGTAACAAGACATGGGAATACTCAATGAATGCAGAAGACTAGGTAGTTGAGAGAAAGAGAGGGATCTTGGGATGCTTGGCTACAGGTCCCTGAAGGCAGCAGGACAGGTAAATAGGGTAATAAATAAGAATCATATGGGACACTTGCCTTTATCAATCATGACATAGATCATAAAGCAGGGAGGTTGTGCTGGAGCTGTACAAGACTTGAGTATGGTCACTGCACTAATGAAGGGTATGAAGGGGGTGCAGGGGAGATTCACCAGGATGTTACCTAGGATGCAGCAGTTTAGCTATGAAGAGAGGCTGGATAAGCTTGGGTTGTTTTCTTTAAAGCAGAGAAGGCTGAGAGTGCATGTGATTAAAGTGCATAAAATTATGAGGAGCATGGACAGGAAGTAGCTGTTCCCCTTAGTTGAAGGTTCAAAACAAGGAGGCATAATTTTAAGGTCAAAGGAAAGAACTCAGTGGAGATTTGAGGAAAAGGTTTTTCACCCAGAGGATGAATGTGCTATCTAGGGGAACAGTTAAGGCAGGAAACTTAGCAACCTTTAAAAAAGGTACTTGGATGAGCACTTGAAATGTAACATTGAAGGCTACGGGTTAAATACTGAAAAACAGAAGAGTGTAGATTTAGAGATAGTAGGAACTGCCGATGCTGGAGAATCTGCGATAACAAGATGTAGAGCTGGATGAACACAGCAGGCCAAGCAGCATCAGAGGAGCAGGAAAGCTGA